CCTGCTGAGCAGGGAGCCCGATGTGGGACTCGATCCAGGGACTCCAGGATCATGACCTGAGCCGAAGGCAGTCGCTTAACCAACTGAGCCACCCACGCGCCCAGAAGTTGTGATTTTTAACATTGTGACATATTAATATATACAGAAGGCAGAAAGTCAGTGACTGCTTTAGGGGTATCAGTATGAAACAGTGTGTGAAACTAATTTAGGACATTAATCTTCCCAGATCTAGATTCCAGGGTACCTTCTTGAATGAAGATGGGAGACTGGCTACATTTTAATACACCAGGACTAGATTACCAAGTTTGAAAGTGTGGTTCCTTCCCTCAAAAAGTGCTTTCTGGCATAAAATCTTATCTTCTCCCATGGAAATTAACTAAATTAAAAAACTAAAAACGTTTATTTTTCTAAGAATTTCCTAAATTTTCAGTTACTTGGTGAACTCTGGCATTGTTCCCATCTTGGCAACTCTCTTATATGAACTCTTATACCCTTTAAATGCATTGGGACAAAATCCCAAGTTCTGGATGGATTTGGGTCTTTTAGTTAGCATTTATCTAGCTCTACTGGAAATGGTCAAGTATCAGGGGAAACAGGCAATTAGTGGAGTTTAGGTTTTGGACTCATTTCATGTATTCTGCTAAAGGGATTTCAGAATTAGATAAACAGCTTGCTTCTCTTTTTGGAAGGACTGATTACTTAAAACTTTTTTCATTCTAGAAAGTTTGAAGAAATATATCCCCCAGAAGTAGCAGAGTTTGTGTACATTACAGATGATACCTATACCAAGAAACAGGTCCTGAGAATGGAGCACCTAGTCTTGAAAGTGCTTGCTTTTGACCTAGCTGCACCAACAATAAATCAGTTTCTCACCCAATACTTTCTGCACCAGCCGTCTGCCAACTGCAAAGTTGAAAGTTTAGCAATGGTAAGTTCTTTTCATTTTGTTGAATGAAGATTCTTAGGTCACAGAGTTTAATTTTATAGCTTTAGTCAAGGGATTTAGTATTTCGGGGACAAATTAGTGTTGCAGTATAAAGAGAGCCTGCCATTGGCAAAAGATAACATGAATTGGGAAATTACTAAGAATAGTGGTATGAGGATGAAGTCTTAGGAAATGGTAGCCAGAAGAGTTATAAAAATTATGAAAAGAGGAAAAAGTACAGGATGAGGATAGATAAAGCTATGGGTTTTTTTCTTTGGTTGCCATAGAGCCAGTCTTTGAAAGATTTCATGAGAGAGCACAGAGGGAGAGTGAGCAGGAGAAGCAGACTCCCTGCTGAGCAGGGAGCCAGACGTGGGGCTTGACCCCAGGACCCTGGGATCATGACCTGAGCTGAAGGCAGGTGCTTAACCGACTGAGCCACCCACGTGTCCTGCCATAGAGCCACTCTTAAAGAGAGGAAAATATTAGGGCAGAAGGCAAAAATTTGAGGCTTGGATTCTAGAGCTGTTGTGATCATCAAGTATATTTGCTTTTTTATTCCAGTTTTTGGGAGAACTAAGTCTGATAGATGCTGACCCCTACCTAAAGTATCTGCCATCAGTTATTGCTGCAGCAGCTTTTCATTTAGCACTCTACACAGTCACAGGACAAAGCTGGGTATGTATCACCATGTCCTCACACATCTTGTCTTGCAACTTAAACATTTGTGCCAGGTAAGTTAGGTAACTGTCCTATACAAGTGTTGCTGGTATAGAGGTACTTACCTAGAAAAACTGTTCAAAAATATATGCTGCTTAAAGCGTCTTACCTGTTTAGTAACATGTTTGCTTGTTAGGTAGAAAGCTTAGTTATTACTTGGGTTTGAAAGGTGTACTTAAAGAATTAGGGCCATAAGACCTGCTGCTGGAAGGGAAAGTAGTAAACATTGATCGAAGTCAACATAAAAGACGGAATAATGGCTTGAGAAATCTGGAAGATATTACTTGGAGGTGTTAGTCTTGAAATTTAACAAAACTCAAGTTTAATGCCAATACTAACTCATTGTGTTTAGTGTCTGTTGCTAAAAACAAAACTCAGTGGTTCTCTACTCCCTTCTCTGCAGCCTGAATCTTTAGTTCAAAAGACTGGATATACCTTGGAAAATCTTAAGCCTTGTCTCATGGACCTTCACCAGACCTACCTCAGAGCACCACAGCATGCACAACAGTCAATAAGAGAAAAGTATAAAAGTTCAAAGTAAGAATTAACATGAATAGATACTAAAGAAGCTTGCTTTTCCAGGCTACTGTATGATTGAGATCCTTGATATTTTAACTTTATCAAAGGTTTCCCAAAATATCAAAGGATTCACAAAACAGGCACAGCCTCCTCTTAGCAGGCCAGGTGTTTTGAGTAGGTTGTAGTTATGCTTTATGTCCTGCATTTGAGGGAGAAGAGGGAAGAGGAATGGGGCACGCATGCATGCATATTTTGTGGAGCAATGATTCACTAACTCAGTCAGAATAGAAATAGCATTTCTGAGTTCCTAGTTATATGTATCATTCCGTGATCTCCTTTACCCAATGAATATTTACTGAGTTTTTTTTCCTACTTACAGGTATCATGGTGTTTCTCTCCTCAACCCACCAGACACACTAAATGTGTAACAGTGAAAGACTGCCTTTGTTTTCTAAGATGTAAATCACTCAAAGTATATGGTGTACAGTTTTTGTAAGGTTTTAATTTTACAATCATTTCTGAATAGAGTTATGGTCAAGCACAAATTATGGTATCTATTACTTTTTAAATGGTTTTAATTTGTATATCTTTTGTACATGTAACTATCTTAGATATTTGGCTAATTTTAAGTGGTTTTGTTAAAGTATTAATGATGCCAGCTATCAGCACAGTAAGAATAAGAACTAATAAATGGATTTGGAAAATTTGGTCTGTTAAGTCAAATCTGATTTGACTTTATGATATCACTCAGAATTAATTTGATTTACTACAGAAGGGAACTGGGAAGGCTTCTCCTGAAATTAAAAAATAGTTTTAGGAAAACAGATAAAAGTTTGAACACTCATTTTTCCCAAGGAACTGGATCAATTTGGTGACTTGAGCATAATCTAAGCATATCTGGAATAAATCTGTGCTTATTTATCAGTTGTGATGATCCTGATAATCTTTCAGCCCTTTGTACACACTAAGAAAATGCTTTTTCATTCCTCATCAACTTCTCCACTTTACTGAAGTGACAATTATTTAAAACCTGCTAAATTGTCCAGAAGGTTTATTTTAAAGCATAATGTAAAAAATTATATAAAGAATCGACTAGATTTTATAATGGATTTGTGAATAGAAAAATACTCAAGTTATTAGCACTGAATAAATATCCTTTTAATAGTTATATACACAAATATACAACTATGTGAACTTCAATTAGCAGCTTTCTTCTTTTTTCTCTTTTTCACTGGCTTTTTACTTGGTGCTTTTTCTTGTTTTGCACTGATGGTTTGTGTTCTGTGAATAAAATAAATTAACAGTTTACTTACAGTATTAGCACTAGAAAGCTGATACCATGGATGGTTTACCAGACTTACACCATTCTGCTCGTTAAATTTTGGACTACCAAAATAGGAGACTTTTTTTTCCCCCAGGAGAATATGTAACATTTGCCAACTAAGAATAAAATGCAGTAACCTTAAAAGGCATCCATACAGTTTTATAGAATTAGATCCTGTTTTTAAATCTCAGTTTGAAGAAACCACAGAAAGAACAGCTGGATTTCAAATAAAAAAGGGGTGTCTTTGTTTATAGTAGAATAAGATGAAAATAAAACCAGAGAAGTCTTGAGTTATGTGTATACATTTGAAATAAACCAGAAATTTGTTACCTTATTTTCTTTGGGTTCTTGTCTGGTTCTAAAATGATCATTTCTTCTTCTTCACTGTCTGAGAGTACTATAGGGGCATCTTTAAGAAAATGTTAAGGAAATAATATAAGTATACTCTCTTGGAAAATTTCTGTGTGGGTTTATGTCAGCAGTTCTAATATTCTATTTCCATACAAATAGCCCCAGCTCCTCTTGAGTTAGGGCTTACAGAACTACTTGTTCTTTCCTTCCCTGAAGTGACTCCTTGGCAAAGCTCTGAAAAATAACACATACTTTCTTTACTTCCTAAAAATTCTGTACTATGACCATTTTGTACATGTTGTAATAGGGGGGAAAGTCTATATAACTTCTCCCTATTATAAACAACACTGAAAGGAAAATACCTAGAAACAGAATTAAGGTCAAAAGGTATATACATTCCAAAAAATATTTTGCCAAATCCACCCAAAATACTATTCCAATTTATATGAAAAACTCATTTTCCTATGCACCCTTTTTTTCTTCAAGATTTTATTTGAGGAGAGAAAGAGCACAAGCAGGGGGAGGAACAGAGGGAGAGGAACAAGCAGACTCCCCACAGAGCATGGAGCCTGAACTGGGGCTTGATCCCATGACCCTGAGATCATGACCTGAGCAAAAATAGTCAAGATGCTTAACCTGAACCACTCAGGGCCCTAAATTTTAATATTGTCTGATACAGTAGTTAGAAAACATCCCTTTTTGCTTTGAATTTATTTCCTTTATTACTACTAGGGTTGCCCATGAAATATGTTACTGGCCATCTGTATTTGAGAATTACTTTGTATCTTTTGCCAATTTTTCTCCTGAGCCTTAGTTAATGATGTATATAAATCAATCTTTGAGTTTTCAATTAGTTTCTCCTTGTGTTCATATGCTTTACAAAGGCTTTACCTGCCTTATCCTCCCAATTATCTTAGGTCCACTTTTATTATTCAGTTGAAAATATTACTCTTCAAAGCAGTAACTGAATGTTTAGCTATTCATCTTAGAAAAATATTTCACAAATATATAAAGAGGCCTATGCAAAGATGCTTTACTGTAGCACTATAACAGAAAATGGTAACATTTATCAATAAGGGAATGTTATTAAGCCAACCTAGTTATTGTCAAAGCTAGAATTCTGTGTAGCATTTAAAAATGTGGCTGATGACATGAAAAAATTCTAAAGATTCATTCACAGTCCCTTAAATATAAGTGCTTAAAGCAGCTTATATTGGTGTAAATATATGGTAAATAAATACATAGAGCAAGGTCTGGAAGAATACCACCAAATAGAAGTAACCACTAGGAAAGCTGAATAAGGTTCCCAATCGATGGGTTTTTTTTTTTTTTTCCTTACAAAAAACCCTGGCAGGGGCGCCTGGGTGGCTCAGTTGGTTGGGCGACTGCCTTCGGCTCAGGTCATGATCCTGGAGTCCCGGGATCGAGTCCCGCATCGGGCTCCCTGCTCGGCGGGGAGTCTGCTTCTCCCTCTGACCCTCCCCTGTCTCATGCTCTCTATCTCATTCTCTCAAATAAATAAATAAAAATCTTTAAAAAAAAAAAACAAAACAAAACCCTGGCAGACTCTCAGGAATGTTTACAGATAATTTCATTCCTTGAAGGTAGGTATGTACATTACATACCTAAACAGTATCAATATTTTTTTTTTCCCAGCTAGATTTAGTAAATACACCCTTTAGTTCTCTGCCAGCCTACTTGCTGCATCCATCTTTTTATGATTTGGGTTTCAAAAACCCAATTCATGATTATTATGGGCCAAGCAAGAATTTGGTTTTCCGAACAGTAAAAATATCCACAAGTTAAAAACAATTTTCTCCAGGTCTTCAGCTTTCAGAATGCAAAGAACATCTAGGACTACCATTATTCCAAGTGTTTCTAGAGTTTTGTATGTTCTAATACTGCTCTATTAACAACCATATATAGCTATTTAATTTTATATTAGCTAAAATTAAAATTTAGAATTCAATTCTTCTGTCACAAACCACATTTCAAATGCTCAGTATCTGCATGTGGCTAGTGGCTATTATATTTATTGAACAGTGTACAAATAGAACATTTCTAACATAAACTTCCATTTGGACGTTCTAATTTATGATATGATACAGGCTTTTTATGTTTGAGTCTAGAAACTACAAAGAAAAAACAGCATGCGGGAATGAACTTTTTAAGAAACTCATCCCTTTAAAACTGGCCCAGATATATAGAAAAAAAGAACAAAACATTTTTAACTAAAAATGCCACTACATACCAGAGTAGCAGGACTCCACAAAGATAAGCACATTCTTTTAGAAAACAATTGGGAGTTAATATTATAGTTAGCATCAACAGTTTAACTGAAATTTAAATCACAAAATACTTAGCCCCTCTAAAAAAGGAACTGCTAATATAAAAATAAGATCCCTAAAATAGGAAAGTATATATATTATGTATATATAATATATATAATGACATAGAAGCCATAAATGAAGTGTCACCTACCTTGGCTTCCAATATTGGAGACTTCTACTCCAGCGTCCATTTTTGTACTACCAAGAATGACTGCTCCATCGGTGCCATCCTCATCCTCCTCTTCCTTCGCAGAGTCTTCAAGATCACCCCAGGAGTTTTCTAGTCCCTCTCCAATTTGGGCAGTTCCAGGAGTCCAAAGCACAGGATTAGAAACACTTCACAAGTTAAGAAAATTACGAGTAACAAAAATACTGCTATTTGATGCAGTGTTGAGAAAGATGAGAGTAAAAGTTTTAAGACTGAAGTGTGCATCAAGTTTGTGCAAAAAAATTTCACTAATAGCTACACTATGGGTGGCTGAACAATAAGAAAAAAAAACAACTCAGGTAAGATTTTATGGAAACAGTGGTGAGAAATATCGAGACATACTGGCTCTCAACAGTTGCAGTGATAAATATGGCAAATGGGTGAATAAATAATTTCCAAGAACAATATGTAAGAGTATATATATAAAGTGCTTGACTGAGATTAAGGAACAATTTTCCAAAGGAAAATAAAATCCTGTAAATTGGCTAACAAGATAGAAAATTTCCGGTTTTTGTAGGATAGTTGAAGAGGTGGATGTTATATCAAAGACTTAATAAGACTAATCACTGTCTTGTATCTTAAATGTTTTCTCTAATAGTGTTTCAGAAAACAAACGTCAGTATGTACACCCTTCCCATATACCTAATAATGCCAAAAGTGTTATGAATCATGTTGTTACTGAAAAAACCATCCAATAAAGATACACTTCTGAAGGAGGCTCAGCTTCAGCAATAATTTCTTCTGCTTTCTCTTCTACATCGGAGGTATCAATAGGGGCCTTTTCCATTTTAAATGCTGTGATCCTTTGACTTGCTATAGACTCTGCAAAGCCAAATTTTCCACCTTCTTTCCTGTGTGGGTTTTTTATTTGGGGGTGGGGAGAGGTGGAGGAGGGGAAATGATAGATGGAAGAGAAAACAGGAAGGGAAAAGTTAACCATTTTATCTTTTGATGGGAGAGGAACACTGGAAAAAAGCTATCTAACTTAACCTCACCAATTTATATTATGCTTATCAAGAGAAATAATGAAGTTACTATAATTAATTTATTGAACCACGTGCCAGGCAAGTGCTAAGTGCTTTAAGTATATTACTTTCTAATCCTCAAACCAGCCCTACCAAGTACGTATTACCTCCCATATTACAGAAGACACTGAAGCGCTGGGTTATAGAAGCGGAGAACCAACCCCAGTTTGTGTTACTTCTGTTAGTTTGAGCTACCAGATTCTTTTTTCTAAAGAAAATGTTAATTTTTTTAAAGACAAATATTATGTGGCTTCTCAGTTCAGATTATATTTAAAGTGGAATACAATATAACACTTCTGTATATTCAACTTAGATTAACAGATAAGGAAAAATGGGAGTGTGAAAATTAATATGGTTACTCTTATGGAAGAAAATTCCTTAACAGAAATATCTGTTAAAAATAAAAAGATCATTTAGTTCTAAAAAATATTAAGCTTACCTTACTTTCTGGTCATTCTCCAAAGCCTTCTGTATTAGCTCTGTAATTTCCAGTACTTTCACACCAGCTATTTTACTACATCTCAAAACCTATTTATAAAAAGTGCATTCTATTATTTAAAGACAACAAACTACACAGCTTTCTCTAACAAAACTAGAAATATGAGAATGGTTTTTCTACCTTTAAAATATAAGCTTGACCTTTTAAAATATGAAAATACAATGTAAACACAAATGAATGCAAAATGTGACACTGGTTTTAAAATATCTGAAGGATTATCACATTAAGAAAACGGACTCAAAAACTTCTCTGACAGTGTAAAAGATACCACTGAAAAGGCCACAGACATACATTATATACTCAGGGATGCACTAACTACCTTTCTGTGTGAGTGATCCAAAGCATTAATTCAAGATATGGCTGCAGTATCCCCTGGGAAACTATAAAGCAAAGATTCCCAGGCCTCAGGGACCTAATGGATCAGAATCTCTGGAAATAGGGATCTGATAATGGTCATAATACTGGTAATAGAAACTAACACGGCACACTTAATATATGCTAGACAGTGCAATATACCCATGTGTTTATCCTTACACTCCTTAGCAAGGTGTCGACACACAACTTTATTCCCTATTTTACAGATAAAGAAGCCAAGGCACAAAGATAGGAAATCATTTGCAAAAGGTCAGTTAATATAAGGCAGAACTGGAATTCCAACTAAAGCAGCCTCTGTGCCCCACCTGTGCTACATGCTATATGCCAATCTATTTTCTAGAAGCCTTCATGTGAATCTGATGCAGCTGGATTTGAGAACTACTGCTTACTGAACCCAGTTTCTGAGAGTACTTAATTTCTACCTTTTTGACACTTTTTTTTTGAATAGGGAGATGAATCTCTTTTCTCACTGGGAAGAAAAAAGTGTTCCTCTATGTAGAAGGGTTAGACCCTGGAGGGCCATACAGGGAGCAGCAAGGAAGAAAGGATACCTTGTAGCCACCAGTCAACAGAATGTAATAATATTGAAACCAGATTCTAACATATCCTAGAATGAATCACTGAAAATATCCTTGATGGCTTTTAGTTAAAAAACAAGAAAAAGCACAACAAAACAAGAAAAAGCTTCTAAAAAGAAAAGACCTATTCTTAATAGAACATTAATCAAAGCACTAACTTGATCTTTCAGTAGCATTATCCCACCACTGGACTGGATAGTACAAATCTCTCGATGCTTGTTCATGGCAATCACCAGCAGGCCATCCATTACACGTTCTTCTCGTTCATTGGGATCCACCAATAAATATGTACTGAAATGAATGTTAAATGGACCTGAGCAAATCTGAGGCTGAATGCTTGTCAATTTTAAGATACTGAATATTTTTAAAAGATGGCATTAATAAAGTCAACACAGTGAAGGTCTGAGCCTGTGGATGTTGAGTCACTTTAATGGGAAAAGAGATGAGAATTTTATTTTTACGGACAAAATAAATGCTAAGGGGATATCACTAGCTATTACAGTAAACTCACTTAAGTTCATATTAGTTCATTCTTTAAATAATATATAATCTAAACTTAATGCTATCACTTTGGTTAAACGACTTGTTGCTCATTAATAAAAACTTAGATAACATTAATTTGTTAATTTTAAATGTCCCCTAGTGTGTCCTAGATCCTGAAGTGCTTCTAGGTTCTGCTAATGGCTCATTAAAAGAATACTATTTCTGCACCGTCCAATGTTAGCCTCTAGGCTATTGAGCCTCTAAAATGCAGCTAGTCCAGATTGAGGTGTACGTGAGTGAAAAATACTAGATTTCAAAGATTTAGTAGAAATAAAAAAATGTAAAATATCTTATAATTTTTATACTACATATTAAGATATTTTACATATAAAATATATATCAAAATCAATTTTCCCGGTTTCTTTTTACTTTTAATGTGGCTACTAGAAAATTTTAAATTACATATATGGCTCATGTTGTATTTCTACAGTGCTGGTCTACTTCCCATTAATGAAATTCTACACTACAATGACTACAAGTTGAAAGTTTCCCTAGTTTTTATTCATAAAATTGTTACAATATCTTATTTATTTGTTAAAGATTTTATTTATTTGACAGAGAGAGACACAGCGAGAGAGGGAACACAAGCAGGGAGAGTGGGAGAGGGAGAAGCAAGCTTACCCACGGAGCAGGGAGCCCGATGCAGGACTCGATCCCAGGACCCTGGGATCACGACCCGAGGCGAAGGCAGACGCTTAACAACTGAGCCACCCAGGCACCCCAACAATATCTTATTTATATCTCCCTTTGTTTCTGAAGAGATTTAAGGCTCAAGTTTTCATTGAAAGGCACCACTACATGGACCTAAGACTACAGTTCTTCTGTTGTAGGAAGAATTAGTGAATTGTGAAGAAACTACTAGAGAGCTGAAGAAAACTAGATTTATCCCATTTGTGAACCATTCCCCCTTGTGACTTGCTCCTCTAATGTGCTCCAAAGTCCTATCTTCCATTAATCCACAGTAATTCTCAGCCTACTTTCCTGAATTAGAGCCTAGCACACAACTCTCTTAACACCTGTACATCTCTAGCACCACCATGCTGCAGGGAATTTATTTATTTATTTCTTTTTAAAGATTTTATTTATTTTTTTGTCAGAGAGAGAGAGAGCACAAGCAGGGGGAGCGGCAGGCAGAGCAGGTAGAGGCAGAAGCAGGCTCTCCACCAAGCAAGGAGCCCGATGTGGGACTCAATCCCAGGACCCTGGGATCATGACCTGAGCCGAAGGCAGACGCTTAACCGACTGAGCCACCCAGGCGTCCCTTGCTGCAGGAAATTTATAAGTATCCTATGAAAAGTGTTGTGAAGTCTCTTCACTACAGAAGAATTTGTGACTTCCATTGAGAAAGCTCTTTGCCAACTAATGCTCTCACAAAGAAAGAAAAAAAATGTATAAGGTGCTTTAATATTAGAAGAGGTGTTTGTTCATCTATCCATAGCACATTTGAACAGAACAAAAAAGTTCCTAGCTGCATGTACAATTTCAGCCCATGACAAGAATGAGACTTACCCTTGCTGGAAGAAAGCAAAACTGACACAAATGGGCAGGTGGTGGATGCTTAACGGTACAGGATCTCGCTCTTCAGGTGTATACTGTTTGAAAATAAAAGCTTCAATAATTAGCCACTAAATTATAAACATAAAAAAACACCTTGCACATCAAGTATTAAAAAATATAATTCCTTTAATCATCGTTGAGTACCTAAATTAACTCTTTGACAATGACCTATTTGACTTTGCCACTCATGTTCCTTAAAACTTTATGCATATGTCAAAAAGCTTTAATGGGGTATAAATACCACAAAATCCATTCATCCTAAGTATGTATCTAGTCACTTTGGAGTAAATTTAGAGTTATGCAACTATTACCACAATCCAGTTTTTTGACCTTTCCAATACCCCCCCCAAATCTCCGAGTCTATTTGCAGTCACTTCTCACTCCCACTCCTAGCCCCAAGCATTCCATGTAAGTGGAATCAAACAATTTTGTCTTTTGCATCTGCTTCCTTTGAAGTTAGCATGTTTCATCCATCTTGCAGTATGTATCCCTAGTTTGGTCCTTTTTACTGCTGAATAGTATTCCACTGTGTGGATACACCACATTTTGTTTTTTGACTTAACCAGTTGATGAACATTTGGATTGTATCCAGTTTGGGGCTATTATGAATAATGCTGCTGTGGAACATTCACATGAAAGTATTTGACTGAAAATGTACTATCATTTCTCCTGAGCAGATTCCTAGGCATGGAACTGCTGGGCTGTGTAAGTTGACACTTAACTTTTTAAGAAACTGCCAAACTTTTCCAATGTGGCTATACCACCAGCAATAACTACAATATTTTTAAATTGATCTTCTTTTACTTTCTTATACCAATTCCCTTTTCTGAAGGAACATGTCTATTGTTAATAAACCTTTGTCTCTGGGGTGCCTGGGTGGCTCAGTCGTTAAGCGTCTGCCTTCGGCTCAGGTCATAATCCCAGGGTCCTGGGATCGAGCCCAGGATCGAGCCCAGGATCAAGCCCTGCATCAGGCTCCCTGCTCCTCGGGAAGCCTGCTTTTCCCTCTCCCACTCTCCCTGCTTGTGTTCCCTCTCTGTGTCTCCCTGTCAAATAAATAAAAAAAAATCTTTAAGAAAAACAAAAAAAACCTTTGTCTCTACCTCTCAGTCTTTAGAGTCTAGTCTAATGCCTAAAAGCAGCACATGAATGACTGCTCAGAAATGTGGGCATCTGATGTTTCCTTTCACAACTTTAAGACTCAAACTATCCACAGTGTACTTTCATTATTCCTGCATGAATTCATATAAATTGACACTGACATACTTAGCACAAAAGCAAGGCAATGTAAACAGTACATGTCAACAGTTTTTAAAATGTGGCCCATCCACTGGCAGAATGAGTATCACCTGGGAACTCTGTTACAAGTACAAATTTGTAGGTTCTACCCCTACCCGACTCTGAGGGTGGAGCCTAGCAATATGTTTTAATAAACCTTCCAGTTGTTTCTGAAGGACTTCTGCCAGAGAGCAAGCACAAGTATCTCAATGTGCTGAGAACCATGTATTTCTCACACATGTGGCTCCTAAACATAAGCCAACCGCTTCATCTAATGCTCAATCCCAAGAAAAAGTCATCTAGTTTTATCCTAGAAAACCAAGATAGGGTGTGCTTTTATTGTCAGACACTTTGATACAAAAGATTTAAGAGATTTCAAGGACAATTTTGACCTTATATCATTTTTGCCTTATGAACAAATTTCAGAACATACTTAATTACCATCTACAATAAGAATTCACTAATAACAAGTTGCCTGAACATCAAGGATATTCGTTCTTTCATAGGGAGAAGTGTGGCTCGAATCATGGGAGCTTACCAGTGTTATTTCATCTCCTTGGACAGAGACATCGGGTCTTCGGAAGTGACACAAGGCTACAATTGCAGCAATACTGGCAGCATCAATAATATTCCCATCATGATTCAATAAATGTAGGTCCACACGTATTTGCCAAACCTGAATGTGAATTTAAAACAAAAATAAATCCTACTTGATCACAACCAGTGGCTATTCATAAGGAAAGTAACACTGCGTGCAAATTTTTCTCTTGCAGTTAAAATATGCAGTTACTCCTTCTATTTTATCAATAAAAATGTATTAAGAGAAATGTTAAGCCAGGCCAACATCTGAAGTACCAATAGTTCATCTTTCTATGAGTCATCTGACAACAGTAAAATATACACTCTAAATAAATAGAACCATTGCACAATTAATAGTAAGATTTTCCCAATCCTAAATATATTTTTGTCTCCTAACTTAAAAACCTCAAACTCTTAGGTTTTACATGACAGTATTTATAATAAGCTTACAAGTAATCCATATAGGAAGTATCATATTCAAGGATATAATGTGGAAGGTGACTTCTCTGGAGTCAAAAAGATAGTCAAAATACCCTAATCAAGAGTAAAGTTCTAAAACATCATCATCATGCAGCAAAATTTATTGAGAGTAACATTTCCAATGTCAGTCTACCACTCCCTGTGTAGCCCTGCGTAAGTCAATAAAACTACACAAAAGAAGGATTTAATCTGTTCTTCAGTTCCTCATTCATAAAAAAAGGAACACATTACCTGCTTCTATCAACTCACATAACATAAGAAAATAAAACAGAATGTAAGAAAAACCACAAGTTCTTTGAATAAGACATTTTTACACACATCCAAGTTGATACTTTCATCAATGTTTATTGTCTCTTCAGAGAGCGAAATGACAAAGTTCTTTGGGTAGCACTCAGGAACATTTGAAGTGAAGTGAATCAGTATACAATTGTATTAATGGAAGCTCTGAGAATAAAAGTACAGATATAGGAATCCATGTATCAACAATACTCAACCTAAGATTAAGAATTTTGGGCATATTCCCCACCTTTTCACCAGCAACAACACAGAGAGATTCAGTGTCTATACACTTCGAATTTCTTAGACATCTTTCCAAGAGTCGATTCAACTTCACCAAGAGATCTGACTGCCTATGAAAATAGGAATGGGCTAATGTCATGAAATATAACACCAGGCATTAAAACAATAGCTCACTGCTGTTATGTTCTCCTCTGGCTAAAAAGCAGCTTTAAAAAAAAAAAAAAAAAAAAAGATTTAAATACCTGCCAGGTTCAAAAGCTGGGGCAGCCATCTGAGAGAGTTCAAGGTTAAAAAAAAGAATACCTTCTGTTGCCCTATTGAGCTTTGGAGAAACAAGTTCACAGGAAACCTGTCCAAGAACTCTGCAAAATAAAGTACAAATCTGTTAACTAAATATATCTCCTTTCCAATTAAAAATAAATCTTTAAAACAGGTACCAGTTAAGTTTCGATCTTATTCCGAGTAACAACATACTCAGTATGATGTATCATTAGAGGCTGAAATTACATATAAAGTATATAATATATACAGAAATAAAACACATATTGGCATACACAAAAGGATGACAGAAAAAAAAATCTCTTATTACAATATTGACTATTCCATAGACTTTTTTTTTAAATCAATGATCTTTCTCTTTTCTAAAACAAATATTTATTGACACAAGATGGCATGAAAACTTGAGATTTCTTAAGAGTTTTCATATGGCATGGCTGGCCAACATTATCTGAACAATATCCTCACAGCTTCCAAATGAATATTAAAAACCTAATTCTCCTGTCAGGAAAATGAGAAAAGTAGGCCTACTTAATGGGAAGTGCAGAAAACAAATTCAGGGCAATTACTGCTGGCTGTATATATGACTTAAAGAGATCAGAAAACTATGTAATACTAATGTGATGAAAAATATATTTATGGTTAAAAATAAAAAACTCTCGCATTAAAGAAAATATACTTATTTTGACAGCGAAACAAAGAAGTCTGTCCACACTTCTTAGCTGCTTTGTAAACAACCGAGTCAATAAGGTCCTTTTAAACTTTTCCCTGTTGAGCTTTTAGCTCATTTGAATCCTTTGTTACCTTGTTTTCCCAAGTTCCACAATACAGCACCCATAATCTGTTCCAAATGAGATCTTGATGTTCCTATAATCATAGGTTTGTCTGCCATCCAGCCGCTGTAAGCACAACATTCATTCGTTATTCCTTCAACAAATATTTATTGAGCAGCTACTCTATGCCAGGGCTAAACGCTTGGAGATAGGTGGTTTCCTAACCACTCCCCATAGGAAAAGTGGAAACCAGGTGCCCGAGCACTACTAGTCGCTGGTCTGACTCCAGCTTTGAACGCAACTGGAGCCAAAAAAAAAAAAAAAGCTTGAGGGATTGGGGGAACGCACAGGCGGTTCCCTCCAGGGGCTCCCTCGGCCTGCGAAGGCCAGTTCTGTACGACCAAACCCGAAGGCTGCGAGCGGCGGTGCGACCAGAGCGCCCACGCACCGCGAAGTTCCCCGGGACCATTTACCTTCTTCTCTTCGATGGCGCGGAGTAGGAAACGGCGCTCGCAGTTTGAAAGTGGTGTCTCCTTCATGCTGTGAAACCACAGCACACACTAGCACCGGAATCTGCTAGGAAAAGTGAACTTGATCCCCTCACGCGTTACCCGCTAGCTCTGACGCGCAGGAAATATACGTCATCAAAGCTCGGCGGCTTAGGAAAGCCAAGGCTGGGGGCGGTCGCTAGTGCGCAAGCTCAAACCAATGTTGGCACTAGCGGGGCTGGCTAGGAGAGAGGCAAGTGCGTTTAAGGAGGCGGGTTTCTGAACGTAAAGCTGTTTTTCTTTTATCAGAAAGTATGGGGAAGAAAAGGACCCCAAAACAACTATCAGTGATAGAAATTAATATCAGTATAGGGCTTTCGCATTTCACCCTTTCTTCAGTTCTAGCGGCGTAGACTAGACAGGTATTATTGTTATTTTATACAGATGAGGAAGTTGAGATTTAGCCAGAAAGCTGCAAAGGCAGAGTTTGTAGCATTTTCAATGGAGAAACACTGGAATGAATGGGCGAAGTGGAGAGGAGGGAGGAGAAGAAACTTGAGATGGTGAGGTGGGGTATTATTGCGGGCTGAAAGGTGAAATCTCGTAGACTTGAGAAGTTGACAGGAATTGAGAATATTGGCACCTCTAACTAACGGTGTTATAAGCACCACTAGCTGAAACAAAATTTGTTGTTTATTTTTTCAGTCTCCCCAGTTATTTTAAGTCGATAAACTTACTTTTATGGGCATAGAGGAACCCGATGCTTGCGCCGCCAACCACTCAGCTTTTTTTTTTTTAGAGAGGCAGTATCAAGTAGTTAAAAGCAGGAACTCCAAAGTTCTGTGACCCTGGCCAAGTTAGCTTATGTGCTTCACTTTACTCATCTGCAAAGTAGGAGCGATAAGTCTATTTATTATGAGGGATGAAAACGAGTTAATACATGTAAAATGCTTAGCACAGTGTCTGGAATGAGTAAGTACTATGTGTTTGCATATTACTTTGTTAACATTTGTTTCTGAGGTGATAGTCACTGTAACTCCTTTTCAGGCTCCATTCCCCTACTTTTGTCTTTTTTTTTTTTTTCCCTACCAGTGATACAGTGTAGTCTGTTTGTACTACTTGCAATCCATGTACTCAATAAATTACATTCTGTGTGTGTGTGTGTGTGAGAGAGAGGGCCTTCTGTGTGGCAAGAATAATTCCAAGTGCTGGAGAAAAGGGGTGGACAAAATCCTGTTCCTCAAGGAACTCATATTCCCTTTGGAAGAGACAAACAATAAAAACTTAAACAAACACACACAAAAAAACCCCCAAGTTCACATACTGAGTGCTATCTGAGAATGGGGTTGCTATTTCAATAGGGATAGTTGCAGAAAGAGGTTGTTCTGTAGAGGTGGCATTTGAGTTGAGTAAATTCTCAGTGATGAGAAGGAGCAGCCATGATATCATCTGGAAGAAAGGAAGTGTTTCAAGCAGAAGGAGCAACATGAGCCAAGAATGAGATAGGATGAGCTTAAGTGGCCTGGAGACAGAAATTGTGAAGGAGGAAAGTGGACAGAAACTATGTCCACATGCTCAGTTAATTGATTTTCAAAATAGGCAAGGGGATTACAGAGTGTGGGCCATTCAAGTTCTTTAACAATATAAGTTATTTTATAGTACAACTTCACAACAGAACTCCTGGCTGACTTCATCATTTAAATCCGTGTGTTCTTTTAGTGGGCATTTACGAATTTCTCTTTTTGTCAGAAATGAAATGTTGGCCTTTATTGAAGTAGTCTATCCTTTCCTGGGGGGCAGTTTGGTAGTGGAAAAAGAATGTTGTTTGGCTTCAGATAAACTTCGGTTCTAATGGACTTTGAGTGAACTAAGTAATCTTTGTGAACTTCAGCTTCTATATCTTAGTTTGGAAAGAATACTTCGTGTTAAGTTGAAAGAATCTAACACAGTGTTTTGGACAGGATAGCTATTCAATTGGTTTCCTTCCTTTTTTGGCTTGCCAAAGGCTTCCCTTGAAATCATTCAGATTTGCCATGTCAGATTGCTGTTCTGAGATTGCTGCTTGATTACTTTGCCTTTGCTTTTCTCCACTTGGGTAGAATTTCCACTGTTCTTTCCTACTTTCACTATTATGTTATTGTAATTTTAACACTGCAGCATCTGCCTTTTATTGGAGTTAATCCAAAGATGTATAACCCATCTCCACCCACATCCACATACCATCACAAAGTATATTTACTTCATAATCTTATTTTTAGTAAGAAACCTTTGAAACACCCAAGGGACCTTGGCTACATGTTTTCAGCGGAAAAATTTTTTTGAAGTTTGAAAAGAGGTTCAGATAATATTGTACATTCTGCTCTTTAAAAAGAATCAGTTTGAATCAGCATATTAACCTGGATTGTCTGTCTAAATATAACCTGGTTTTCAACAAAATATTTGAGTATACATCTTTTTTCCCCCTCTTTATTGGGCATCTGTTGCTTTGTCTGACCAGCATCCTTCTGTTTTTTGGAGAAATGTCCTTTCCTGATCCCACATTATTCTGGTATTAATGTTTATAGGAGGCAGGGTGTGACCAGGCCCTACTAATCATGGAACTCCATCCTTCTCTCCTCATTGCCTGTTCACCCAGGCAGGGCTAAAAAGAGTCGCTTCATCAGTCTTGACATGTGAACTCTAGGAAAGAGTAGGTCTCTCCTTCTCTAAGATTATGAACTCTAACGACAATGCAAGTCTGGAACTGTTAGGGGCCATCTTGCTACCACAGGGAGAGAATGTGTTTGAAAATGAAGTCAGACAGAGGCCAGTAAACTGAGAAATAAAGGAGAGAAGTGGAGCCCTTATGTAGAAATAGTTTGCACCAGTTCTTGGGCTTCCCAGTTGGTGAACCAGTACATTTGAATTGGTCTTTGGTTAAGTGTATCCAGAAGAATCCTGACTAAATACATTTCTACTAGGTTATAAAGATCCATGTCTTACTAACCTTTATAGCACCTACTGAAACTGGTGTACCTTGTGAGTAAATGAAGGAGTCAATGGTCTGTTACAGCACATCTGGTAAAAGAAATTAATAGGTGGATGAATAAATGAACAAATGGAATCTTACAATTTTGTTTACCATATAATATGTCTGCTGTACAATTTGTCTCTATAGAAATTGATTTTCCAGAAATTATCCTGGAAGGAAATAATGCAAAATGTTAAGGTGTTTATCTCTGGGTGGTGGGATTCTAGGAATTTTTTTTTTCTTTTTTGAACTTTCTTCTTTATGAATTTCCCAAATCTTCTGTGAGGCATATAATAGCTTTTATCATCAGAAAAAGTAAAAATAAAAATGAGTTTTCCTTTTCTTGTTCTGAAACATTTAACTATTTAAAGAGATTTTGGCTTTCAACTACATTTTATTTTCTTTAATATTTTATTTATTTATTTGATAGAGGGAGACACAGCGAGAGAGGGAACACAAGCAGGGAGAGTGGGAGAGGGAGAAGCAGGCTTCCTGAGGAGCAGGGAACCTGATGCGGGGCTCAATCCCAGGACCCTGAGATCATGACCTGAGCTGAAGGCAGACGCTTAACAACTGAGCCACCCAGGTGCCCCTCAACTATATTTTAACAAAGACATTTGTTTTGTTGTTGTTTTTCAAGACTCAAACTGGAAACTACATAGTTAATATGTGAAAGGATTTTATGCATTGACAACTGTTGTGGTCTGAATGTTTGTGTCACCCCGTAAATTCATATGTTGAAATTCTAACCCCCAAAAGTGATCATGTGAGGAGGTAGGGGTCTTTGGAAGGGGAGGATGGAGTCCTCATGAGTGGAATTAGTACTCTTATAAAAAAGATCCCACAGAGCTCCCTGACCCCTTTCACCACATGAGGATACCATAAGAAGTCTCTGACTCAGAGAGACCCCTCACCCAATCATGCCAGGACCCTGATTTCAGTCTTCCAGCCTCCAGAATGGTGAGAAATAAATTTCTATTGGCTGGATGGCTTATAGCCATCCAGTCTGTGGTATTTTGGTTATAGCAGCCCAAACAGACTAAGACAAAAATGACTGAACACTAATAAGTCACATGTAGTGTGTATTACCCTTCCATATTTTTCTCCCATATTATAAATTTTATTTTATTTTTTTTAAAGATTTTTATTTATTTATTTGTCAGAGAGAGCACAAGCAGGGGGAGTGGCAGGCAGAGGGAGAAGCAGACTTCCCACTGAACAGGGAGCCCAATGTGGGACTCGATCCCAGGACCCTGGGATCATGACCTGAGCTGAAGGCAGCCGCTTAACTGACTGAGCCACCCAGGCATCGCCTTCCATATTATAAATTTTAAAAACCTAGATTATCAAGTTCATCTCTAGTTTCTATGGACTAGTTAAAAGAGCTTCCTTTTCTTTTTTATCATTTGCTATGATCAAATATCTATATATGAATGCTCATATTATTATTAAGCTTTTTCTATATGTTTAGAGGAATAAAAAATTATTATCTTCAGCTTATAAATACAACAAAATGAGGGGGGAAGAGAAGCAGGGGACATTTTGATTTACACTGCTCTCAGATAGTTGTAACATGTGGGTAATCCTGGACTTGAAAATCAGGCAAATTCTCAGGTTCCACCCCAGAATTACTGAAGCAGAAACTCTGCAAAATGGGCCCTACCATCTGTGTTTAAAAAACTCCTCCAGATGATTTTTATACACACTAAAGTTAGAGAAGCCCTGATCTAAATTTCTTAGAGAAAGAGATACACCTGGTCCTGTCCTTAGCTCTGGGATTCCCAGTCTGTTTTAGCAAAATGTACTTGCAGATGTCATCCACTGCCCTTCCCCAGGGGACACTGCTAACTGAGGGCTTACTGATTTCTGGAGGGAAGTGGAGGCAGAAAAGGAATTACGGAGCTCCTAATATGTGCTAAGCAGTGTGATTGGTGCTTGTGCTTCTGTACAGTGATTTCCAACTTGATCTTCACCGATTTTACAGAAGGAGAGTTTTCAATTACAATCCAAACCTGAGCTATATTTCAACAGCATGGATTTTTATTATTTTATTTTATTTTTTAGCAGCATGGATTTTTTTTAAAGTTAATAGACACATGTTTAAGAGCACAGTGAAATTGAGTGGAAAATACAGA